TATGTAATGTAATGCTCTAATGATCAGCTATACTTTTTTTTTGTTGTTCTTTTTATTGCATTTTGAATAAGCATTTCGTTACAATATTTAAACTATAAATATATAATATTAATAATAATAATAATAATAATAATAATAATAGTAATAATAATAATAATAATAATAATAATAATATATATATATATATATATATATATATATATATATATATATATATATATATATATATATATATATATATATATATATATATATATATATATATATATATAATGATCGTTATTAAATAATAAAAGAATACGGGGACCAGTAAAAGACCATACGGTCTTGTCGTCAAATACCGCTAAGAAATGTTCGTGTTAAAATTTATAAGATTTTTACAAGATAAAAAAATAAGTAACGAAGTAAGAAACTTAAAATATTCCGTTACAAATACAAGATACAATATTACATATTACAGTTGTTTATGATACATATGCCCAAAGGTTGTTAAAGAAGTTTTTGATATTATTGAGAACCCCTTACTTATTATTTTTAATCTTTCATTTAAATATGGCGTTTTTCCTGATCTCTTGAAACAAGCAAGAGTAGTTCCAATATTTAAGGATGGTGATGTCTCAAAGTTATCTAATTACAGGCCTATTTCAATACTCCCATGTTTTTCTAAATTTCTAGAGCGAATAATGCATAATAGGCTTTACAATTATCTCACAACTCACAAAGTTTTAAATAATAATCAGTACGGATTTAGTAAAGGACACTCGACAGAACATGCAGTAATTAAATTAGTTAAAGATATATTAAATGGGTTTCAAAACAACCAATATACTCTTGGAGTGTTTATTGACCTCTCTAAGGCCTTTGATACTGTGGACCATGATATTCTTCTTTACAAACTTGAAATTTATGGAATCAAAAATAATAATTTTAAATGGTTTTGTTCCTATCTTAAAAATCGCAAACAATGCATATCATATGACAAAATCAACACTAAATTAGAAAACATTACCTGCGGAGTTCCACTGGTATCTATTCTAGGGCCTTTGTTGTTTATCATTTATATCAACGATATTTACTTATCATCTAGTGTACTAAACTTTAATCTTTTTGCTGATGACACTCAAGTTTTTTATACTCACTCTAACATTAAGACAATCTTTACCACTATGAATAGTGAACTTGATAACCTTAATGAATGGTTTAAAGCCAACAAACTCTCTCTCTGAATCCTACAAAAAGCAAATATACTCTCTTTTCTAAATCCTCTAAATCTGACACGTTGTCTTTAAAACTCCCGGATATTTTAATAGAAAAAACCAAATTGCAACGGACATACTGTGTTAAATTCTTAGGTGTTTTAATCGATGAGCAAATAAATTGGAAAGAGCATATTAATCTAATAGAAAATAAAATTTCAAAAACTATTCGAATCATGTATAAAACTAGATATATGTTGGATAAAAACTGTTTAAAATCTATTTACTTTGCATTTATTCATAGCTATATTAGTTATTGTAACATTGCTTGGGCAAGCACTTATCCGTCAAGACTAACTTGTATCTTAAAAAAGCAAAAACAAGCAAGCCGCCTTATATTAAATGCTAATAAATACACCAGTGCCGATCCACTGCTTTAAAAGATTGGAGTGCTGAATGTTTACCAATTAAATATTTATAATATTCTTTTATTCATGTTTAGATTAAAATATCATATGCTACCTAATATTTTTGAAGATCTTTTCTTTATTTTAGGTCATAAATATCAAACAAAGCATTCATTGCTTAATTATCAGATACTAAAAACTTTGTTAAAACAATCTGAATTCTCAATAACTTACCGAGGGCCACATTTGTGGAACTCATTTCTTCCAAATAATAGTAAAACTACAACTTCAACCCAAACTTTTAAAAGTATGTATTAAAATATATAAGTCGTACTCATGCTTCTGCTGACGATAAAGAGGTTTAAGTTTAATTTTTGTGTACTACCCCAAGCAATGTTTGTATAGTTTGTGTGACAATGAATAAATGAGTGATTTAATTGTACTAAAGTATGTTTATTTAAAACCTTTTTTTTTTGTGTACAATATTCCTATACTTCTTGAAATTTTACTTGATAAGCTTTTAATGTGATTTTTTCATGTAAGATTTTCATCTATACAAACACCAAGAAAGTTGGTTACTGTTACTTGTTTAATTTGTATACTGTCATGAGATGAGGCATGTTAATTGGCAGTTTATATTTTTTGATAATCATTTAGTTTTATCAATGTTAAGCGATAATTTGTAAATTAACTTATTGCACTTATAGTGCATCAAACTTCCGGCCTATTTTGCTCACATCTATTCCATACAAAATGATGGAAAGTATTTTTTAAACAATAATGGAACACTGTGTTGCTAATAGCTTAATTACTCCAAAGCAACATGGCTTTATCTATCGCAAGGGTTGCGTTTCAAACCTGTTAGAAACTTGGAACATCATGACGGAAGCGATTTATTGCAGCTACGCAGTAGACGTATTATACAAAAGATTTTGCGAAGGTATTTGACAAAGTGCCACATTTACGCCTTCTTCATAAGTTAAAAGCCTGCGGTATTCAAGGCGCGCTTGCAGACTGGATTTCAGTTTGGTTACGCGACTGAAGTCAACGAGTGGTCATCAACGGCATCACATGAATGGCAAACAGTCACTAGTGGTTTGCCTTAAGACTCGGTCTTGAGCCCATTGTTCTTTGAAATCTTCATGACCTGCCTGACAACATCACTTATCATATAAAACTGTATGCTAACGACAGCAAAATTGTTGCCATAATTAAAAATGAGTCGGAAAGCATTGCTTTCTAAGCTGATATTGACAGTGCAGTGTAATGGGCACATATTTGATTCATGCATTTCAATAAGTATAAAAAGTATAAAAACAAAAACTTTCAGTAAAACCAAGTATATTTTAACCAAAAACGTCAAACTTGTATGAAATTGCGAAGAACCAAATAACTTTTTTTTAAATAGAGTTGTTGTTCCACGTAATGCGCTTTCTAAAGCATCAATGAACTCTCCTTCAAGCAATTCTTTCAAAGAGAGTAGTAACTTTTAGTAACAAAGTAATTTTTATAGATACACAATTGCTGCTTTGTCTGTAGCATCTGTATTTTTATTTTCGTCAGCACAGAGGGGCGTGGTTTAGCACCTCTTAATCAAACTATAAATAAATTGTATTTGTTTTTTTTTTTAAATTTCTGAATGGTAGGGAAAAAAAAAAATTGCGTATCGCTGAATTGATGAGATAAGGACAATAAAAGACCGATTTTGTTTCCTAAAATAATCCGGATCTAATAAAGTATTTTGGAAGAAATTTTCAGGGTATATTAATAAAAGGACGAAAAACATTGTAAACTAAAACCAAAATTAGAAATTATTTTTACATTTATTAATAAGACATTTATAACAAAATATGCCTCAGATACCTGAAAGACACAGAATTGACCCTCTATTGTGGTGGAAAACAATCAAGACACACCTATCTCTACTTGCAGAATTTGCTAGGGAAAGACTCTGTGTTCTCGCAGCATCAAGTTGCAGTAAGAAGTTGTTCTTACTGCAACTTGATGCTGCGAGAAGTAAAAACATAAAAAATTCGTAAAGGTAGAAATTGGAGTCTATAACATTCGAAAAACTGACTGTCTAAGAAAAAAAGTAAAGATCAAACTGCTGACAGATAAAAATTGAGAAGAAATGAGTAGAGGAATTGTAGAACAGAATGCACAAGAAAAAGAAAGGAGCCTAAAACAATCTGTGGCAGCATCAAATTTCAAGTCACGAAAAAAGGAAGTCTCTGGCTAAGGATTTCCGACAAGGGATAATGAAGGTTCAGATCTTGAATTTCTCTAAACAATTCTATTTTATCTAATCATTTTCCAATTAATTAATAATTGTGTGATGCCTGTTTTCGAAACAAAATCATGTGATTAAAGTCTGTTTTTGAAAAGTATTGTTTTGTGTCAAAAATTTTGTGATAGATACAATAAAATTAATTTTTATCCAGGAAATACCGACGTGAAAAAGTTGAATTTTAAATCAATTATTCTGAGGAAAATAACTTACGACAAAAAAAAATGACTTTGAGGATTTTTAAATATCACTTGTTTTTCAAAACTTTATAATTTGATTTCGAAAAAGTTGTGACAAGAATTTTTCTTGAATCGAAACTCGGAATAAAATTTTTATTGCGCATTGTATCGTTGTACTCAAGCAACAACAGTAAGTGAAAGTGTAAAAAATTATCACTTCATTGTCCTAGTCAAAAAGTATTAGAGGTTTCTATGAGATTTTAAAACAGAAAAATTTTCAGATTTCAGAAATTAAAACACATAAGATAAAAAGTGAATATAGTTATTAAAGTTTTGTCTTTTTTTTGTTTGTTTCAAAATTGGTCTTATCTTTGGTTAGGGTTCAAAATTGGTCTTATTTTTTGTTAGGGTGTAAAGGCTCTTAAATTATTTAAACAAACGCTTTTTGAGTGAGAGATATTAACACATTTTATAAGTTATTTTACTATTATAGATCTTATCCTAACGGTAAAAAGTTCCCAACTATGTCAGGTCAGACGAGATATCATAAAGCGTAAAATTAACTTGAAAAATTAATTTAGAAAAACAACGATTTTTCACTTTAATTTTCCCAAACTAACCTCTTTTTTTTTTTACCGACATAAGTCTTTAAAAAAGTCTTCATCTGCAGAACGACTAGGTTTTACTTTCATTAACAGTCTTTCTATGCATTAAAAAAAAAAAACATTTTATTTTTATTTTTACATAGTCTTGAAATTTTTTTTTTTCACTTTTCATTAAGATCCACATTAAGCTTGAGATTCCTAGCTACAGAACTTTTTTTCATTTTCTGTAAATTTTTCGGTGAGCCACTTCCATTTATAAATATTTCATGTCATCTCTTCCATTATTAATGATTCCATTGATAAAGTATAAAATAGAGTGCCCGATGTTTAGAGACTAATGATTTATTCTTGTAAAAAGTTTGTCTAGACATAAAAATAAACAATATAAGTATAAATATTTAAAAAACTCTAGAAATGCAACAAGTTTAAAGCTCAGTCTTCTTTTCGGGTTCGTCATCTAAAACTACATCACTTAAGTCTATGTCTTCTTCCTCTACAGGCAACTCCCCATCTTTACCATCCCAAGCAGGTGCATCTGACAGAGTAGGCAAACCATCTTCTAACTTCTGAGTTCGACCACGACCAACAGCGATACCTTTTAGCAATTCATCAATACCTTCACGACCGAAGCCACTTCGTAATAAAACAAATATCTAAATTAAAAAAAAAATTTAGTCAAGTTAAATAGTATTAAAAAAAACAAACTGAAAAATACCAAATATAATTTCAAGAAAACATCTGTTGCTATAGATACAGAAAAATTGAAATTTTTTTTTTGTGTATCCATAGCAACAGATATTTTTTACACTATAGCCAAATAAAATACACTATAGCCAAAAAAGACTATAGTGTATCTATAGCCTTCTTTTCAGCAGAATCGTATAAAAACAATAATAAAATTTACCTTCTTTTTAATGTTAACAACAGCCATTGCGGGATATCCAAATCCTCCTACTTCAAGTGTTTTTTCTAACTTGGGATGTACTCCAGCACTTGTCCATACCCAACCCCATAACTTCTTTTTATACTTTTCACCTAACTCTCGTAAAAGATCTAAATACGCATTTCTTCCAGCAGCTTGAGTATCAAGAATATCTGGTAAAAACGAAATAACACAAAGTGGTTTTTCATTACAATTATCTTTTAAAACTGAATCAGAGGTAAGTTGCTGAATTTCTGGAGGATCTACATTTGCAGAATGCAAGTCAAGAGCAAAAGCAATGATGTCACTTGCAGTGCGCCCTCCTTGGTAATCTTCAGCTGAATTAAAATCCTTTGCCCCAGCAGGGAAGTATTTGATGGTAGGATAACCTTGAACATTAAACCTAATAAACAAATACTTTATATTTTAATATATTTTAACATGCAAGCAAAAATGCAATTATGCAAATAACAAAATTAAAAAATAACTAAAGGCGAAAAACAAACAAAACTCTGGGGTTCAAAATAATGTTTTGAAACTTCTGCGTTAAGTTGACAGAAAAAACTGGGCTCGAATCTACTCCTAGTCTTAGAGTTTTTAGTAAAATTTTTCATCAATCATAGATTTAAAACTTCAGATTTAAAATGACAGATTCCAAGACTCTTTAACTCCTGTAACATTTTCTTATGAATTTAAAAAGTTTCTAAGCATTTTTGGAGCTCTACAACCCCAAAAGGCGAGAATAAGATAATTAACATTTGACTTTAAGTTCAATATTTATTGCAGGAATTCTATTCTTATGAATGAGGAAAATATTCAATACTTGACTCCAAACCTAAGATTTCTTTTTGGGACTTATCAACACTGACAATGACAACAAACTTTCTAAAAAAAGATTCAGTTGTCAATTGTAATTACATAGAACTTGCCACAAAATCTGTTGCTTATTATGTTTAATTTGACAAATGACATATAATATATTGACATTGAATCTGTAAAATCTGTTATGTTTATTATTATGTTTAATATGACATATATATAGCATATGATCTATAAAATATAACATGATCTATAAAATTTGTAATGTTTATTACTATGTTTATTATGACAAATGACATATGATAAAAATATTTAAACTCAATTTTAATAAATATTATTTGATTTATTTTATAATACTAAGTTTAAGATCTTTTGATTCTCTCTATAGCCATAGTCAATAAGTAAAAGGAATTCCACAACTCCAAAGGTCAGATAAAAATTACAAACATTTGACAATAAAGCCAAGTTTTTTTTTTTAAGATGGGGGGGGGGGCTGAGAGTTTTATTCCAGGAATGGAGGAAAATAACTGATACTTGACTATAAACTCATGATTTTGAAAAAAAAAAAGATTATTTCCAATTTAATATTTCTTTTTTTGGGAAACAGCTTTTCTCATTAAAGAACAGATTTTTATCTTCACTATAAAGCTAACAGAAATTTTAATTGAAAATCATTAATAAAACTTGGGAGAAATTAAATTAGAATTGTAGGTTTTTTTTTTGCAATTTTAAACCTATACATTAACATTTTTTTAAAAGTAATACCTTCCAGCTGTATTTGGGTATTGTGTTGCATCCAATGCAGCTAGTTTTACTTTTCCTTTAAGTTCTGTAGCAGCTTTTGCCCACTCTGGTTCTAAACGTTGACAATGACCACACCTATAATTATATTTACAAGGTACTAGTTTGTTTTTTGAATCAAAAATTAAGATTAAAATAACATTACTAAGTAAAAAAAGATAATCAAAACATTTTAAAGTATATAAAAATTACCATGGAGCAAAGAATTCAACAAAAACAATATCTTTTGTATCAATAACTTCTTTTTCAAAATTATCATCAGTAAGAGTAATAACATCTTTTGCATTTCCACTCTTGCCACTTCCACTTGATGAGCGCTAGAATATTATAAATTTATAGTCATATAGTTACTATATTACTGTCAGATTGCCTTTAATTAAAACATGAACAAAAAACAAAACAAAAAATTTGATATTAACTTTTGAACCACCATTGAGTCTCTCACGAGCCAATGCAGATGCAACTTTTAATGCTTCATCAACTATAGCTTGGGCAGATCGTGCACCTACAGAATTGAAGCTTCATATAATATTATGGTCAAGTCAAACAAAAAATTAAGAAATGTCATTCTAATAAATACTTTCTTTGGACAGAATGCAAGTTTTCTCTTATACAAAACTTTTTCTCTTTATTGTTTAAAAACTCGAAACTCAACTTGAAATCTATTTTTTCCAATCAATTTTTACTCTGGTATCAAAAAGATTCAATGACTTGGAACCTATTGTTTTTTTAAACTGGAGTCCTGGAGTTATTATACATAAGGATTCTGAGTTCAAAACTGATGGTTCCTCCAGCTTAAAAGTCTTAACTTTTTTTTCCTATAAGTATTCCATGAAAATCTTTATAGCTCCTAGATACCAAAAAAAAAAAAACAAACAAAAAAAAAAAAAAAAAAAACAAAAAAAAAAAAAAAAAAAAAAAAGGAAGAAATAATCTTTTTTATGACTCAGTATCTCTGCTAATAACATTAAAAAAGAATTGTTGTTTTTTTATTAAAAAATTGTTGTTTTTTTATTCAAGACTAAAAAGTAAGCCAAGATCCTCTGCTTTTTTGATTCTAATAGGTAGCAGTTAGTGTAAAAAATTCACCAAACTAAGTTTAGCAGGCTCTTTCGAGGTGTCTATTTTACTGCCGTCCAAATTATTTTTTAAATAGCTTAGTACATAAAATTTCTTAGATATTTAAAATAAGATAATTTCTAAGTATAAAAGTCATACCATTGTAATCTTGTGGTTTGGATTTGTCACCAGAAAATATTTTAATAGTAGGGAACCCACGAACATTATAAGGACCTCCAACTGAACCATGAACATCCATGTCAACAGCACCAACTTTAACTATGCCTTTCAAAGCCGTTGCTGCTTTCTTCCAATCTGGTGCAAGATTCTTGCAATGGCCACACCTATAAAAAAAAAATTTGAAAAAGAACCCAAAATATTAAACCATAATATTTAATAAATTTTTTTTTGTTGTATAAAAATCCATACATTACAAGAATAAAATACCTAAGTAATGAATAAATTTAATTCATCATAATATCATTTTAATATCATTTTTCGTAAAAACCTGTTTTTTATTAAACGTTAAGGGATGCCAAAATACTTAAAAACTTTTGTATGTATTATTCATTATTATTTAAATAGTTTAATCAAGTATTAATGTTTAAACTTTTATAAAACCAAAAAAAAAATGTTATGGAAATAAAATAAAAATTTTTTAATTATTATAAACAGTATAAATTTAATGAAAAAATGACATGATTTTGAGCTGCTTTTTTTTAGACAAAGCAGATTTTATTTATTTATACTAGATACTAGTTATGCATCAATTGATTTAGGAGTGTTTTATTTTCAGTAAGTCAGTGAGCATATATACATTGACTAAAATATATAAATACTTTTGAAAATTAAAATCTTTATACATAATATTTTCTGTAAGCAATAATTTTTAAATTCTAAGCAAGGGCAACTATTAACATGTTTAAATAAAATTGCATTTATATCATAATTTAAATACTTTAATAAAAGATGGGCTTTATTTTAACGATAATTTATTAAATTATAAAAAAGAATAACAATGAAAACAAAAAAATAAAAACACGCTTCTCTAAATTTATAAAATATAAATGTGGATATAGAAATTTTAATTATTTTCAAAAATTTTAATTTTATTTAGTTAAAAAATCGTTATTAATAATTGTTCATGTATAATTATTTAATACTCTGTAGGTAATATTTTTGTGTCTAAGTGTAATGTAAATACATGTAAATATCAAATACATGTAAATATCAATACCTACAGAATAATAAATTTTAGTGACTAAATAAAACCTACTAGAATGATCATTTTACTATGTACAACTATTTTATTTTACCATGGTGCATAGAACTCTACGAGCCATATCTCGTCGCTATATTTTACCAAATGATCAAAATTTCCACCAGTAAGTTCTACTACATCATCTGATTTTTCATAAAGAGCGTTTACAACATAAATTATTGCTAGTCCTACACCTACAATTAAAAATAAAAAAAAATTATTTTATCAAATAAACTTAGGAAGTAATAAAAAAAATCCTTGAACAAAGTAACGACAAAATTTTAAGGAATTTTTGCTAACCTAGATATTTAAACATTTTCGTTCTTTATTTTGTAGTTTAACTTTCTCCCTCGTCAGGTTTGTTTTGCTCACTTCTTAACTATAATTCCGGATTCGTGGTTTATGCTGATTGGACGGTATTTTTACACGTGTCTAGAGCGGCTATCAAGTTTGATAGCCTGCTTTGCAAGCAGTGCAGTCCAACTGAGTCGAAATAAAAGCATTTTGACTAAATAAAATTTTAAATCTGTAAAAAACTATAAACTGTATCTAATTATAAATTGTTTTCTAATAATAAGTTTGTTATCTAGTAATAAATTTGTTAAAGCCTAATAACTATACTTTTATAATTAAGTGGATTTTTTGTTGTTGTTGTTGTTTGTTTTCTTTTGTTAAATCATTATTTAAATTTCGGAGTTCATTAGATGAATAATAATAATTGTTTTAATTTTTATGTTTAGATATTTATTATTTTCACAATATTAGCGGCTTGGCGATATACAAAATCCGGCCATTTCTATATGATATTCATGCAAAAGTTTGGAATATTTTATTAAACGTGAAGTTATTTAAAATATATATTTAATTTTTTGGGAATAATGACAATTTTAAAGTTAAATTAAGTAAAAGGTTGTTTTTTAAGACTAACTCTTAAATGGTATTAGGCCCAGTGAATAAAAGTAAGCTGAGGCTTTAACTCAGTAACTGGTCAGCTTTACGCGAATTAAAACTTGAAAAAAATTACTTTAGTTTTTATTCACGTAAAGCTGACCAGTTAATGAGTAAAAGTAATTGCTTATTTTTATTCACCCGGCCTACCACCTCTACCGTTATAATAAATTAATAAACTTTTTTTTAATGAAACATTTTTGACTAAAACAACCCAGTTATATAGTAGTTTAAATTTTTCCGCAAAATATCCTCATCATTTTCTATATATATATATATATATATATATATATATATATATATATATATATATATATATATATATATATATATATATATATATATATATATATATATATATCCTGTCACTGAGAACCGTTTAACAATACAGTAAAAATAAAACCAGTTAAATAATTACAATAAATGACGTTTAAAAATAAAATTTAAATTTAACCAGATATTTCAAAACAAAAAACAACATAAAGAATATATATAAAACTGAATATTTCAAAATAAAACAGTATATTCAGGAACCACACACTTTTTTAAAATGTATAAACTCAAAAGAACTCAAAGATATTACCAATTAACAAGATAACTTTTTTCAACTTAATTTTAAAAGTAAGAAAACTCCAACTTTGGGAAAAATCAAAATTTTTCAAAACTATTTTGTTCCACAGAAGAGCTCTGCGATATGTTAAAAGAGATCTTCCAAAACTTGTATGAGAATAATATTGATAAATAAGATTGTCATTTCTTAAGTCATACTTGTTTTTTTGTTTTATTGCATATAAATTTTGAAAGAATATAGGGGTTAGGTTTATCTTACATTTGTACATAAATAAAAGAACATTTTGCTAGTATATATTAAGAACATTTATTACCAAATAATAGTAATAATAGTATTGAGAAAATAATTATTTTCTCAATATTATTATTATTACTATTATAACTCTTATGTAAGAAATTTAATAATCCCGAATAATAGGCGGTATTATAGTTTATCCTCCTTTAGCTAATTGCCATATAGAGGCCGAGGGCGGATCCATAGGAGGGGGAGGGTTGTGTCATCGCAGTGGTTACATCGTTAGCTTTATAAGCAGGAAATCCAGGTTCAAAACGAGCTTTGGACATATTTTCGCGTCATGGTAAGGAAAGAGGCGTGAACTTCCTGGTTAAATGCACTTCCGCGGTGCTCTGTGACAAGACCGTTAGGTCTTCTTGGGACACTTAAATAACAGAAGAAAAATAATAATAATAATAATAAGTTATAAATAGTCTATTGATTGATCTACAGTAATTAACAAAATTTGAGTATTTAAGGATACAATTATAAAACTGTGGTCTTATATATATTTAAAAAATATTTTGTAAACATTATTTTGATCAAATCTTTAACAAACTTTTTATCATTTAACAATTAACTTTCACGCGGATATCTAATGTAGTGTTATTTATTAGTCTTCTTTTTGTTTTTTTATTTTTTTAATTAAAACATGTTTCATTAAATTAAATTTTTTTAATATGAATAAAAAACAATAAAAACTATAAAAACTAGTTTTTTAATTAATATAAATTAGGAATTACTTTAAACTCTTTAATTATTCAGCGGACACAAATATTATAGACGTCACAAGTTCCTCGGACGTCCTTAAGGTGGCACACCTCCAACTAACGGTCAACGTAGTCCTAAGATGTCTAACAAATGTTTATTGCTCACTGGAAGTGAACGCGGATATATCTGTGAAAATTAAAATGATACTCATAGTGAACCAAGGATATAGTTGTCATTAGTTAAGTTTTGTTTTTTGAAGATATCTTGGGCAAACTGTATGGATTTCTAAGAAGTGTAACTTTAAGGTCTGCATTATTTATGATTTTATTTTTCTCTCACAGTACATTAATTTTTGATTCATACCAATAAATTGCTTCAAAGTTATGTTTTTTTTTACGCTGAAGGGTAGAGAGGGGCTAGTTGATCATAGTAGCAAGTTAGGCAATTAAAATATCTTAAAAAATACGCATCACATGACAAAACATCTGATAGATGAAAGTTAGGGAATTAGAATGATAAATGCACTATAAAAGGTTGGATGGCAACATAATAAGATGCGCGGGCCTTTTTTCTATCTTGGAGCCAAAAAAGTAAAAAAAAAAACTTATTACTATTTTTCCTTTAGATTTTTTTTTTAATTAAAAAAAAATTTATATTGCTATCTAAATATAATGACTTTCTTCTAATATTTTTGTTTTTGAAAATTTTTCATTTTTTTCAAAATTCCTACCCTCCCGTTTATTAGGACCCCCTATAGGGGTCGTTCATAAAGTACGTACCTTAAAAATTTTGAAATTTGACCCTTCTCCACCTGTTGCCAAGCGTACTTTCAAGTCCCCTACCCCTAAAAAGTACATACGCTTTTGAAGTATCCCCCCCCTCCCACACACACACACACACACACAAATACACCCTTTTTTTTAACAATTAAAAAAGTTTTCATTCTTCCGCAAAAACGCATAGAGTCTTACGCAAAATGAGTAATATTGAAAACAAAGCCTGAAACCCGGAGTTGGGGCTACCCCTTAAGGGGTAAAGGGAGGTATTTAGTTTAGCAATACCTTGCGGAAAATTTTTAGATAGGGTTAGGTTTTCAACTCATTTGCCACGGCACTGCACAGTGGGTCAGATTTTAGACATATGGTGGACAAAATTATTATTATTATTTTTTTATTACTAAAACCCTTTACACGTCCAAAAAATAACTTTGTATTAAGATATATTTACTTTTATTATAAACTTTAGTTAAATAGTTGCTAATACTAAAAATTATTTAACAAACTTTATAAAACTTTAAAAACGTAGATTTATAATTTTTAATTTCAAATTCTATAAATTTTTAAAATCGTGGAATTGACAAACTCTTCTGGTGGAACAAACTCTTCTGGTGGAACAAACAAAAAAATTGATGCAATAAACTTTAAAAATATAAATGTTTACTTCAAAGATTTATTAACTTAAAAGTATTTTTCTAAAAACACGGAAATATCTAATTTTTATTTATTTTTGAATATAAAACTTTAAAACACAAAACAAAAGTTTATGGATCAAAAGTATAAAGAATAACAACACATATCAAATAAAGGCATAAATTTAAAATCTTACTAAGATTATTTAACTCAATCTTTTATAAAATTAATATAGGTTAATATTTTATTAAATTAATATACAATTAACATAAAATTTATAAAATATAATATAATTAAAAATATATATAAAAATAATATAACCCTACTTTTCATTTATGTGATATCATAAGGCAGTGGCGGAACTTCAAAATTTGGGCCCCCCCGCAAAAGAATGTTTTTTTTGCGGAAAAGAGTTTTATAGTATAAATATTATTGAGAGTATAACTTTTTTCATATGAGGGCCCCCTATAGCTGGTAGGCCCCCCCCCCCCCGCAACGCAGGGTCCTGCGTCCAGTAGTTCCGCCACTGTCATAAGGGTATATTGCAATTTCAGAAATAGTTTTGTGCTTTATCATTCTTTAGTGATAACTGTCTAAGTTTTGCCTTAAACTCATTAAATATTGTAAGAGTTTTAAACTCATTAAATATTGTTAGAGTTTTAAGTTCAGTTGTGAGTATTTTATTCCATGCCTTTGGTTGCAAAATAACTTTTGGGATATATATAGGTGTTATATAATATCTAATTAAGTATTTATTCTGATTTTTTTCAAATAATGGATTAAAAGTTTTTGGAATAATACTTTTATTAATATTGAACATAAAAATAAGAAGATAATAAATATTTATTCGGTAGATATTTAGTATAATTAACTTAGTAAATAAAGGTAAGCGTAATTAAAATAGGAATGAATAAAGAAGAAATATAAGAGTTTTAAACAATTTGGATTTAAAAAAGGTTTTTCTTTTTAAAGTAGACCATTGTTCCTTGATATTTTACCTTCAATATATTTTACATTACCTCACCATGTTATATTCAACACGGAGAAGTCATATAAAATATTAGGACCGCTAATTAAAATTTAATTAGCGGTCCTAATATAAATCCTTGTGGTACTCCACAAGTTATATTCATTATGGTAGTTTCTCCGTAATTACGAGGAATGTATTGCTGTCTATTTGACAGGTAGCTTTTAAATCATTCAAGGTTCGAATTTTGGTTAATAAAATATAATAATTTACAGTATCAAAAGCTTCGCTGTATATTTATATTCAATGGTTTAAGAATATCATGAACAAGATAAACAATTGTCTGACCAGTGGAGTGACCTTTTTTTAATCCAAATTGTTTAACTTATTGTTCATATAAGATGTTTATTATCTTAAGAAATAGTACAGTGTTTTATACATTATATGTTCTAATACTTTTAAAAAGCATGGTAATATTGAAATAGGTCTGTAACTTGAGATACAAGTTGCATCTTCAGAATTTATTACTGGTACCACCTTTGCAACTTTTTCTTTATCAGGAAAGATTCCTTGTTCTAAAGAAAGACTAAAAATGTGCAAAAGCGGAGTTTTTAAATAAAACATTAATTATTACATTGCTACTTACATCATCAACTCCATTACCTTTATTTGATTTTAATAAATTTACAGCTTTAAATAGTTCTTTTTCAAATAACTTATTATTTTCCATAAAATCATTATTAGAGGTTAAGTATGATTCGTTTTATTGATTTTTACTTTTGAAACCAAACTTGGGCTCGTATTTACAAATGCATGTTTGAAAGAATTAGAAATTAAATAAACATTAATAATTTCACGTTTATTTATAATGAGTTTTTTTTGGGAAATCCATTAGTGCTTATGCTTTTTTTTACCTATCACCTCTTTCATTATGCACCTCCTTCTTTGTACATCGTTATTTAACAGGGCTTACTTTTTTCTTTTTGTGGAATCTTCATTTATTTATGTTTAAGGTAGTATTCTGGTATTATTTTGGCAAAAAACAAAAAATATTTTTTTTGTCTTTTACTAAAATAATACCAGAATACTACCTTAAACATAATTTGGTGGTTTTTAATAATTTATTTGCATAGTTAATATAATTTTTATTTTTAAATTTAGTTTTTTTCAATTTGACTTTTTTTTTGATGAACTGTTGTAGAAAAACATTGATATCTCAATAAAAAATTATTCTTTTAGCTTCAAATTTTTAGGATATATTCATTACTTGTAGTGACTGAACCTAACATAAAAAATATATATATTTAAAATTGGGCTGCAATAAATAGTATTTTTATACTAAAAATAGTATTTTTATACTCTTAAGCCTGCCATTTCAGATGCTTTTAGTGTTTTTTTTAATTAATTTAGGTTCAGTCACTAGCTCTACTATTATACTAACTTTGTGCAAACTTTCTACTTTAAATGCTCATGTAATCTTAAAAAATGAACCATAAATGGAAATGACTTGAAACTTTCCAGAATTATGAAATACTATCATATAATTTAGTATCCAAAAGTTAAAGTATTGAAGTCTTAAAACTTAAAATTAACTAAAATTTAAATTTATAACTCTATAGTAGCTTATTTTTTACAATTGCTGAACAAAACAACTTTGTCAGACTTAATGCAGGAAACAGTATGGTAAAATCATTTGCTGTGTGTATTTAGCAGATATTACAATATGATTAGTTTCATAGTTGTTACTTGATGTTTTGTGTTTTTTAGTGTTTCTTTTGTCGTGACGGTTTTTGTCGTGACGGTTTTAGTGTTTCTTTTGTCGTGACGGTTTTAGTGTTTCTTTTGTCGTGACGGTTTTAGTGTTTCTTTTGTCGTGACGGTTTTAGTGTTTCTTTTGTCGTGACGGTTGTAACTGTGAAATTCGTAACGAAAAATTAAATATTTAAAAACAACAAACGACGCAATCAATGTTGTAAAAAAGCAAATAAATAATTATAAAAATTATGTAAACTTTATCTAAAAAATGCACTTTATATTGTTAATTATTATGGTTTTTCGGTAACGAAAACATGGAATACGTAACCACTGGCTGGCTGCTATATTTACTTATACTTTATTACTTTACTAATTTTTCAATGTTTAATGCCCTTAATGCTCCCTGTTCCCAATAAAGGTTTAAAAAATAATTTTTTTTAAAAAAATTAAAAATTTAAATTTTAAAATTATTTTACAAGCCCGTTACAAAACATTAGACAATTTTGAATCCAAAAACGTTCCATTTTTTACTTGCCTTAAATGCATTTTGGTAATATTTTTAACTGATTTCGCTTCTTCTATTTGATCAGCTTTAAATGCCCACCTTAGAATAATATTATATGTGTTGACTAGCCTTACATAAGTTTGGAACCTATTTGATGCTAAAAGTTTTTTGGCGTTTAAGACAATAACAAGATTTTACGATGTTATAAACAAATTGCTTCAACGATCCTCCTACCCTATCAACTGCTCCATTACCGAAAGAGGTACCAAAAAAGTTTTGTTGTTGGGACTGTAAACTTTGCAGGGTCCTAAAAACCGACCACCAAGAGGTTATTGCATCATATTTGAAATTTATCGCTTGTTGATGAATATAAATTTAAATAAAACCAGTAAAAAAAAATATTTATAAAAATATTGCTCCAACGTAAAAGGTTAGGGGCTAAAATTTAAGAGGTTTTTTGTTCCGAGGCTCCGATCATCGCAATTTTTTGCAAAACATCATTATTTGATATTAGCATAAACATATAAATATTTGAAGTTTCCTTCATATCTGGAAATTAGCTGTTTATTGCACCAAAAAACGGCTCCGCTACCCCTAAACACAACCACACCATTCAAATGGGGAGTCTTTGCATCTAAGAATGTGTTTAGACTTAAGCATTATAACGAGTAAATAAACTGCAGACAAAACAATAAACAAAACTGATTTTTAACTTGATTCCAATAATAAACTCGTTTGCTTACTCAACTTAAGAAGCCATTATGGAAAATCAAACTTATCGTGATGGTTGTAGCCTACTTTGTAACATCTTGATAAGGTGATTTGAAGCGCTTAAAAAAAATCGAAATGATGATACTAATTAAATCAGTATCTTTACTTTTACTATAGTTGTAGCTTTATTAAGTCTGATGCGAATCCTGGTCGGTCGCGTTGGTAATGCATTAATTTGATAAATATATTATTTTTATAGACCTAGGTCTATAAAAATAATATATTTATCAATTTACACAACTAGTTGAGTACGTTTTTGTAAAAAATGTTTAGCATAGTATTTAAAAAAGCCTTTACTATATTTAATACAATTCTTACAATTTTAAAATCATGGTATGGTATGATAAAATGGTTTTTGATAACTTTTTTGCTTAAATGTATTCATTAATAGTTAAAAAAAAGTTTATGGAAGTTAGTACTTATCTTAATAATTTTTTTCCAATCTTCCCGTATTTATGTTTCGTCATGATTTTATAATTTATTCTTGATAACTAGAATATATTAGTGACGATATACGGTGAACAAGTATTATATTAATTGCCAAAAAAGCCTCGGAGCGAGCCTAATATTTCTTCAGAACTTGCTATCAAAATGGCCGACAGGTTAGTTGTAGCATTGTGGTGTAATAGATAATTTTATCGTTGGAAATCATTTTCATATAGCATTATCATTAATAAAGGGAAACATTTGGTTGATTTCTCATTACTATTTTTTATTATTTTAAAATTATTTTTTATAATAAATGATTGTATCAGTTCTTGAGATCAATCTTGCTTTGGTTAACTTTATAGCAAGAAACTTCCTGGTGTTCCAGAGACCATCCTTAAAAGGAGAAAAACCTTAGAAGCAATTAAAGCAGCACGTGCTGCCGCTAGAATAAAGAACACTAAGGTAACATATTTTTTAAGATTTTAATTTAAAACTACTTGTTTAATTTGTTATAAGTTATTTGTATAAATATATTTTGATATAACATGAATGTTTGTCATCCCAAAATGATTTTAAAAAGAGTTTATAATTGACGCAAGGTTTTTTAAAACATGTAATAAATAAATCAGGTTAGCCACAGGTCATGGAAATCATAGAAATGTCATGGGATTTTATTTAGTCATAGAAAAAGTTCTGGAATTCTTAATTGGAATTCTTAAATTTTCATTGAAAGTCATTAGTAATTCATGGACTCTTTAAAGTGATCTTTATTTTTTTCCACTTGTAATATTTTTAGAAAAGAATTGTGAAATTTTAGCAAAGAAAAGTACCTGTAGTAAGTCCTTTTTGAAAAATATATTTTTGCAATGTAAGCTATCAGAGAAATAAAAGAAAACGAGTTTTTTTCAGATTTCACTACTTTTTATCAATTACTTTTAGATTTATGCTTTATAATGACCAAGTTCCAAATGCTCAGTGCATGGCAAGTACTGAATATTTTTTTCTAGTGATTTATCATAAAAGTTTATAAAGGATTACGGAATATCATGGAAAAGTCATGGAATTTTATTTTCAAATTTGAGTGGCCACCCTGTAGATGTAAAAAATTATAAGAAATTTAAAATATTAATGTTAACTAAACTTTAAAAAATATCAAATCTTAAAAATAAGATTAAAATAAAAATCTGTGATTAAGCCACTAGTAGTGAAAATCCTTGAAAATTACAAACATTAATTTGTAATATTTTCATTGTTCAATATTTATTCTTGTATAAAAAGTCTTTATTTCAGTGATGTTTTGTTTCAAGACGGGACTGAAACTGTGATGGATAACTATTTTAGCTGAGAAATAAAGATAAATTAAATAGTTTAATTAAAATAATTAGATAACTTAAAAAATATTCTGTTTAAGTTTAGTACTTAGTAGTTTTAGAACCTTTTATATTGTCATCCTTGGGGTCACAATGTCCCAAAACATGTGATGGAGGAATTTTTTTTCAATGTGATTTGTTTAGTATCAAACATGTTAATAATGAGTTTTGTTTATTGTTAAATTAAAATGAAGTTAAGTTAAAAATGAGTTTTGTTTATTGTTTTCCCTAATCAATGATGCTACAGTAACTGCAAGATTTATTAAAATAAAAGCTATTAATTTAAGTATAACCTTCCAATTTTTGCATTTCTATGATGTTTTGTTTCAAGACGGGACTGACACTATGATGGATAAGTTTTTTAACTGAGAAATGTAGCTTTGACTTTTTATGTATCTAGCAAATACTAAATTAAATAAAAATAGTTTTTAGCTCACTCTTTGATTCTATTATTTATTTAGTAATAATTATTTTAAAAACCTTTAAAGATTTGAATATGAGACAAATTTGTTACATCATTTGTCTTGCTTCTTAGTAGGTTAAGCAGGGCTTAAAACAGCTGCTATACTTTAAACAGTATTTAGCACTTGTTTAATAAAAAGTATCTACGAGTCTGGCCTATATTATTATGGATTTATTTTATAATTATTTTAGTTTCTGAATTATTAGTAAATTTAGTCTTAAAAGTTTTTTTAAAACATTTTTTTATATACACAACATAAAAGTAAAGTTGAAAACACAGTTAGTTAATAAAGTTTTTTTTTAAGGAAGTTAGTTTTTTAAAAGGTGTTTAAGCATTTAACTTTATTGAAAAGCCTAGTTTTTATCATTTATTAAAATGTTACAATTAGTTAGGTGCTTTTAAACACAAAGAGACTAAGCACCGTCTGTATGGTTTTAAGAATATGATTTTCTTTCTGTTAACTACAATAAACTGGATAAAGCATTTCGTTTTTTCTTGATCTTTCCTGCTTATTTGGTCACATGGTGCTTTAACATTTTGTTTTATGATTTTTAAATTACAATGAATATTTTTAATTTAAAAGCCCCTTTTAGATTTGTTTTTAGAGAAATTTTAATTTTTTTAATAATAGTTATTTTAATGCTTATGGTACTATATATTTTAGTATTTAACTTTAATTATGTTACACAATGTTATTTTTAAAAAAAAAAATTGCTTTTTTTTTTTTTAAAGTTATTTTGATAATTGTAGAAAATGAGTAAAGAGATTAAATTGATTATTAAAAATATTTATAAAATTAAGTATAATATTTTTTGATAGTTATATAAAATGGGTTTATTGTAAACTATCATTAAAATTAATTGGTTATTTTATTTAATAAATGCGTTTTACATAATATAGTAACATTTTTCTTAAAAGAATTTTTTATTTAATATAATATGCTTTAAACTAGTTTTAACCATACTTTTAATTTCCATTTAAACTTACTTTAAAATGCTATTGTATTTCATTTTTAAAACATAAATCATTTTTATTTTGAATTTTAAGTCTTTTTTTAAGTTTATTTTTTTTATCAGGGCATTTTTGAAATTCTAAGTTGTCAAAGCATTTAAGCGGTTAAATGTAAAAACAAAATATCATGTTTAGTTGTTACCTTTCAAAAAGAATATTTTTTTGGGGGTGGACAATATTATAGTAAAAATTTACTTATTAGATAATTTAATGTTATTTTACTCATGTACAGTTTCATTTATATACATTTTGAGATTTATACAAGTTTTAATATAACTTTTAATAAGTTTTTTTTTTTAAATATTTTATTATAATAATTATATTGATATATAATGATATATAATTATAATTATTAAGTAAAAATGAACTTAATAAAATTCAAAATTCTTTAGAATGTTTGTTAGTAAAACTTGACATTAGTAATATTCAAGTTTTGACGCAGCAAGAATTATTACAAGAAGTATTGTGGACATTTAAAGTTGTGCTATTTGCATTTCTTGCAACTATAGCTATTATTTTCTACTTATTACAAAAAATATTGCAACAATTATGTCAAGTTTTACAAACTTTATGGTTTATTTCAATTATTTAGTAAATCTCTTTTTTCTCTTTTTCTTTTTATCTGAGTCATGCCATTTAATGTAATGACTCTGTTTTCAAATATAAGTTGAACTTTTAATAATTTTTATAATAATTGAAGTCAGGCTTGTTTGTTCCAACTCTTATAATCCTATATTTGTGTCAATTTAAAATCAGTTTGTTAATCTCTTGTTATTTTTCTGATTTCTTGTTTGGATAATTGTCTTAGTATAAAATTAGAAATAATTTTCAACAAATTTTTTTGATTTAGCGCTTAAGATTAAAGAGAAAAGAAATCTTCAAGAGAGCTGAAAGTTATGTTAAAGAATACCGCACAAAAGAGCGCGATGAAATAAGATTTAAGCGAATTGCTCGAAAGCTTGGAAATTTTCATGTTCCAGCAGAGGCTAAACTTGCTTTTGTTATTAGAATTCGAGGGTAACATTTTAAAGCTAAATTTTTTTTTGGACTTTTCTTTTTTACTTTTTGTAAATAGTCTTATATGTTTTTGTTTATCTCTAGTATCAATCAAGTTAGTCCAAAAGTTAAAAAGGCTCTTTATCTGTTAAGACTTCGACAAATAAATAATGGTGTTTTTGTTAAATTGAACAAATCGTCCATTACTTTATTAAGATTAGTCGAGCCTTACATTGCATGGGGGTAAGTTCTATTTCTTTAATGAGTATTAATCGTGCACTTTGTTTTTTGATACTTACATGTATTTTTATGTATTGGTATTTTTGTTTTAAATTTTATGTGTTTACATTCTAATACATTATTTAGTAATTCACATTAAATATTAGATTGGTTCAAAATAATAAGTTAATGAAACTTTGATTATTATTTTTATATGTGATAAAGTGTTTAAATTATTGTTCTGCATAATATTGCTATTTGGCAACAAAGCATGAAAAATACAATTACAATTTTTAAAGTAAGATCTTAATAGAGAGTTCATCTAGTGAATGCAGTAATTTAGTTGACATTTTTTATAAATCTTAAAATAAAATTGTTCAATTTTGAATGTGGGCAGTGCCCAAATACAGTTTAGTGCTGAGGAAAACGGTCTTGAATATAACCCCTGGCTTGGGTGGCTAAGGATTTTTTAACAGAACTGTTTGAAAGGCCCTGTTTTACAACAAATTTAAGTCCACAAATATCTGTTTATCTTTTGTTTCTTATTAGTTTTTGTAATTATTTAATATAAATATACAATTTATGCGATAGAAGTTGCCTCAGTTTTTTTTAGGATTAGTTGTTATTTTTTTGAAATTTTGAAATATTGGCTTCATGTTATTCATCTTTATTGTGTCAATCCAGCTCTGTTTTCTAAAACTTACAATTAATCTGAATTTATAATCAATCCATTACTACTCTTTAGTGTTTAATTGTACGAGGAGAGTCAAATAAGCAGTTGTGGGTACTCAGTTGAAAATATCCTCGAATAGTTGTTAAAAATCCCTATATAGGATATAGATATTAGAATGAGAGAAGTCTCTGTCAAATTTGATAAGGTGGGGTGTACTTAAAAATAATTTTGGTTGTAGAATTTTTAAAAAAACTTGTCTCTCCCCCTATTTACATAATTACAACTCGAAAGAGCATTAAACTAGCTATTATTATAATACTTTTAAACTAAGCATAAAATAATTAAAGTTGTTGAAAAATGCTATTAATATTTTCATGTAATTTGAATGAGTTAGATATCAGTTAAAAATCTTACTTGAAGAATAAAGAAATTAACTAAAAATTAAAAGCATGCAAAGGCGTTCAATTGCGTGTGTTTTTATAGTTTATTAATATCAACTAGTAAATTTTAGCTTTTCCCTGCGTCAGTCTCAAAATTTTTAAAAGAATATAATAGTAAAGTACAGCTTAGTAATTTTTTGTTAATTTTGCTTAACTAGTTCCTTTTTTTTAAGGTATCCCAACTTAAAGAGTGTACGTGAGTTAATTTACAAACGAGGTTATGCCAAAGTCAATGGCCAGCGAATTCCCATCACCGATAACCAAATAATTGAGAATGCTCTCGGCAAAGAAAACATTATATGCGTGGAAGACCTCATTCACCAAATATACACTGTTGGTGAACATTTCAAAAAAGCAAACAATTTCCTTTGGCCTTTCAAACTTAGTTGTCCAAATGGAGGAATGAGAAAAAAGACAAATCATTTTGTTGAAGGAGGTGATCATGGAAACCGTGAAGATTTTATTAACAATTTGATCAGAAAGATGAATTAACTAAATTAAAAATTGTCGGTCATATTCGTTAGTTTTTCCTTATTTTCGTCGACAAAATTTTATAGTATTAGAATATGAACTTTAATAAATAATCATTTATTCATGGTTCTAAGTGAATAGATTTCAAGTAACAAGCAATAAAATGAATATATTTCAGGTAACAGTGAGCAATAAAATAAATAGATTTTAGGTACCAAACAATATAATGAAACATTTCAGGTAACTAATAATGATTATTAAATCCGAGACTTCTTGTTTTAAATGTTTAAAGAGTACAATTATACGTAAAATTCAGCGATAGATCCCGAAATTTCCGGATATTTTTCTCGACTTATAGTTTTTCCAGTTTAGGTTTTACCAAAATGTTTTCCTTACATGCCAATTTAAGTGTTTATATTTGTAATATATTAGTATTATAGGCTTTTTCACTCAAAACTTTTTTTAACAAAAATTGAGAAAAGTTCGGGAAAGAAATTACTAATATGAAAATAAGAAGGAAATATATTCTAGAAATTTTGCTAAAGACAATTTTCCGGATATTGAAGATATGACCCAGATTATCTATCTGTGTATGCAGTTTTACACATCTTCAAGATTAAATCTTCAATCGATCATTTGTTAATTTTCATACTATCATACTCTGAGTAATATACTAATATACTATAATATACTACGAATAATTCAATACTAAGAATAATTTTAAACGTAGGGGAAACGTGCGACACCTTATAACATAATTGTGGAGGCACCTTAGTAGTTGTGACAACCACTTTCATATGATGAACCACTAGAGATACAAGGGCTCGAATTCTTGCGTTTTTATTCTTGATTTTTTTTGATTTTTGATAACTAAGTAATTAATCAGTTTGGTTGAATATATTATTCCTAGTCTCGCCAGTTTAAGAACGCTTTTGTTTGTTAGTCTGTAACATGCGAACTTTTTTTGGGAACCAAAGCATTGTATTTTTATGACCACAGTAGTTATTACATTTGAACCTTAAATTCTTTCTTATATTAAATTAAATAAAATGAAATTTGATCTATTTTAATATTTACCCGCTGAATTCTCAAAAGCTAATTACATTTTCTTGCTAATTACATTTTCTTGTGGGCTAATGATAAGGATAAAGGTAATATGTGTGTGTGTGTGTGTGTGTGTGTGTGTGTGTGTGTGTGTGTGTGTGTGTGTGTGTGCATAATTTATTCACATTGAAAAAAAATAAAGGATCGTATGAAAATTAAATTGCTTTTAAATTAATAACCAAAGAAATTTATTTAGAGTAACATAAAATATTTTTTATAAGACAACTAATGGAGTGAAAAGGAAATATTTTAGAATTCTTATTGCTCAGGACACTATCATGCTTATTATGCTAATTCATTTCTGATATCATACATAAGTGATGAAACGAAGGCTGTACAGTTACCTAATGGAAATGCTACTATATTTTTATCAGGACACAGCCAAGTGTCATAAACCAAATTAAGCAAAGTACAGGTTCAATTTAAAAAGTATACAAAGATATAGTATTATCAAATAGTTGATAGCTGTGACAAATATAACCGCAGTTCAGCATAACACGGAACAAAACCGTAATAAATTCAAATCAACAAGCAATCAAAAACGTTTATCTAGAGATAGTTTATAAAATCTTAATGAATTAGCATATGATACAAATTTTATTCATAATATAATCACATTTCCTGATTTGGTGGTAGTTATGTACTCAGGTGAATCACTGCAAAATTTTCAGCAAGTGTTGAAATTGTCTCAACTACCTCAGAATCTATGATATTATACAATTTTACTTCAGGCGACTTCTATTTTTCTGTTTTTTTATTTAGAGAAACTAAGTTTGACTCAAATCCAATCATTCCATTAGCTTATATGAAGCATGAGCGGAAAATAATAATGCTCTACTCAATATATTGGCAACATATGAAATCAGTATGCCCAGAACTTGCTTCAAAGAACGTTTTTATTGTCATAAATCAAGAACATCTATTAGTTCTACATTTTCTTTGTTGGAACCTTTTTTTTGCAGGAAAGTAAGCGATAGTTACAATTCCACAGTTACAATGAGTTACAATTGCAAAGTAGAATTGAGTTAAGACAAAAGATGAACTGACATATTACACTGAATGTATTCAATCTCTTCTTTGTTCTGATTCTGAATTTTCATACAAAGACAAATTAATAACAGTGTTATCAGTATAGAGTCAGCCATTTTCTGAATACTATATCAAAACAATTCAAGCATTTAATACTATAATTAAGCGACTACAGGACTGGAAAGAGGCTATTGTAGATTCAATGGTTTTAAGCTTACATAGACTTATACAAAGTAATATGTTGGAAATTTATCGTGCTCGAAAAGGTACTAGTCCATATGAATTAAGAGCCAAATTGAAAAGTACTTATAAAGAATATGATCTTCATATTCTAGATACAGCAACACCAGAAGAAATTGTGCAACGCATTAAAGAAACCATCAAAAATAAATTTAAATTTATGCATGATACATCTAAAAGTGCAGAGGTAATACAAGATATAAATATGATAATTTCTAGAGAAAGGGATAATAAAATCATCAAAAATGCTTTTATTGCTTATGACCCCAAACTTACGATCTTAATTGTAAAAGAATCTATAGAACCACGTGTGGTAAAACTGTTTTTAAAAGAGACATGTTCATGTCCAGCTGAAAGTAGTTGCTATCATATTTTGGCAGCACGCCAGGGTTTTGATCTAGCTGTTTCAAATTACTAAAAAAATAAGTTAATCTAACACAACTAAGTCGAAACACAAGAAAGAAATCTGAGAAAACAGGTGGAATGTTATGAGATTCAAGATGAGAAATTAAGTGTTTGTTAATTAAGGATTCAAAAACCTTGCTTATGATAGGAAGAAGACTAATGAGACGGTAGTTAGATGAATCGGATCGCTCTCCAGAATTTTTAAAAATAGGGATAACAAATGCTGCTTTCCAGCAGGCTGGAAAACAAGACTTTGATAAGCACTTGTTAAATAGTTTTGAAAGGATAGACGGCAGCTCCGGAGAACACTTCTGCAAGACTATAACAGGTATGTTGTCTGGGCCTCAAGCTGTAGAAGAGTCTAAGCAGGAAATCACTTTAGATACAGAAGCTCGAGTGATATGGATGTCGAGCAATGGATCAACCTGTTTGACGGCTATATCAGGTAGAACGCAACTAGTGGAGTCAAGAGATGATATTGAAAAGTTCTTAGCAAACAATTCAGTTTTGTCTTTAGGTGAGGTGATAAAGTCTGAACCATACAAAAGAGGTGGAATTACAGACTTGCCCTTATTATTGATACTATTAAAGATTCTCCAGAAATCGCGAGAGCCTACTTTTTGTGATGAAATACGAGTTTTCATGATCTGAGAATAGCTGGCTTTGGCGTTAGACAAAACCTTTTTACAATGGTACCTAGCAGTAATAAACAGACGTCTGTTTTCTGGAGAATTGTTTTGCTGATAGATATGGAGGTTATGGTTTTGATTGGCAATTGCAGTTGCACAATGCGAGGAAAACCATGGAGAAGAGTGAGGTTTGACCTGGAATTGTCGAGAGGGAATAAAGGATTCCATGCCAGCCTGAATCCACAAAGTTATGTAAGAAGCACATTTGTCAATAAGACGAATGATTTCTAACCAGGGGCCATCACGAAGAAAATCACGGAAAGAGTCCCAGTTAGCTTTAAGGTAGTTGTAAGATGTACGATGATAGGGGGATTCTGATGGTAAAGAAGAATGAGATATTAGTTTTAGAGAGACCAAACCATGATCAGAAGCACCTAAGGGTGAGTGTGGAGAAACTGAGCACTGACTAGGATCTGAAACAAGACATAAGTCAAGTAGAGAAGGTAAATGATTCGGGTTGTCTGGAAAGCGAGTTGGAAAGTTGACTATTTGAGTTAGGGATTGAGAAAGGCAAAAGTTGTGGGCCTTAATGCCTGCAGAGTCACTAACACTAGAGCCAAGCCATTCAGTGTGATGAACATTGAAGTCACCGACAACAACAATATTGGCTGATAGATAAAGAGAGAGGGCTTGGTCAATATGATCAGAAATAACATCAAGTTATAGAACATAGAGAAAGGTGATAGAGTGAAGTGGTGCTAAACGAAAGCACATAAAAGAGTAGTCTGTGGATTCAAACCTAGTTTCCCAACAAATGGGTGAAATCTTACGAATGTAAATGCCCAGGCCAAGCATATGATTATTGGAGTCTTTACGAATTAAAGGAAGATAACCATCAACACTAAGATCACAAGATGAGACAGCTGAACTCAAATTAGTCTCACAAAGAGCAAGTAGGTCTGGTGAACTTTGCAAGAGATAAGACTCAACAGAAGAAAAGTTACTTCGAAGACCACGAATATTGGTGAATGGTAGGTTTAGTGAACTTGGTGATGACTGTGGTTTTTTGTGTTTTACAGTTTTTTTACTTTATTCATTTTTAAATTTGTTAAAGAACTTGACTCGAAAAATAGATAGTACTCAGTACACTGTTTTATAGCCCAAGCAATTACCTCATTTAAAACTTAAAAAAGCATTACTATTCTAAAATTTTCAACAAAACAAAAAATAATTGTAAACGCTCCTGGGAAATAATAAAAGAAATTACAGGTAAATCAAAGCCATGCTCAGGTTCCCTGCCACACATGATCAAAGTGAATAATAATATTATAAATAATTCTCAAACAATAGCTCATGAGTTTAATTAATTCTTTGTTGAAATTGACCCTAAACTATCTAAATTAATTCCTAACACTGAAGTCTCATTTAAAAATTTCTTAGTAACGATGGATAATTGCATTCACTCGGATAAGTTATCTAAAGAGTTACTATTTCATGAGTTCGAAAAAGCCTTTAAAACACTAAAAAAAGCAGTTGGACTGAATAAAATCAATGGTAACATAATTTTAAATTGTTTTGAACAAATAAAACATATTCTTTTCAAGTCTTTAAATCATCAATCGAGCAAGGAATCTTTCC